ATATATATATATATATATAATTTATTGACATTATAAATTAAGAAAAATACTTTATAATCTTGTCTGTCTATAAAAAAAGCTTATGGTAATTTATTTATGCAATATATTTTTAATTTTAATGTTTCAGATTTCCTTGACTTTTCTGGGTAAATTGGCTATGAATTAAGAAATAAACCACAAATGAATGAGAAATTATTTACTCCAACTATAACAGTCAAATCACAAATCATAACAAGTAGACTACTAACATCTGTTTGGGGCAGCTGCAGCTGTTTGAAGAATTAGCTATGAAATGCTACAGAAGGAACAACTTTTTAAAAAGTTTTAGTGACAATTACAAATTTATTTAAATTTTTAGAAGTCAAATTATAATTTTTCTGACAACCACCACATTTTAACAGTTCAGGTTGAAAATGCACTTTTCTAGCCCAAAAATTTCTAAAACCAACATGAAATCAATTTTTCAAACAAAACTATGGTAGCGGTTTGAAAAGCAAAGCTAGCTGAAAGTTATCCCAAATAAACCCTTAGTTGTGCAACCATTATTGACCATCAAAATGTCAAAGGTAGAGTTTATGTTTTAAGAAAATAAAATAAATGTCATGTGTGACATATGTCGCCACGTGGTATGATAATTTTGTAAATTTTGTGATTTTTCTTAACCGGTTGTTATTTTGTATTAAATTTTCAAAATAATATCTTAAAGACTCTCCTAAAACATAAAAATTAAAATGTTGTTTAGTATCATTTTTTATTTTTATAATTATTTTTATTTTATTTTGTTTATATTTTGATTCAAAGTAAAACAAGTTTGAAAATGTATAACATATTTAGTAGTTTTTAAAAACACTCGAAACATTTTTTTGGATGTTTTTAGTATTTTTAATAACAAACTAATTTGTTTAAGAAAAATAACACAAAAGATATGCTAAACAAATATATTTTCAAAACTAAAAATAAGCAGATCTACGACACAAAAGATATGTTTCCACCATCGAGCCAAAGAGAAGCTTGGCACATTCTTCCAATTCCAACCACTAAGGATTGACAAGCATTGCTTGCACAAACTGGTTGATTGCCATCTTGGTCCCAAGCCAAAAGTGCTTAGCTTAGTAGCCCAAAACTTTTCTTTCGCCTTCAACATTGTCATCTCACCATTCAAAGTTTTATTATCCTTCTAGGCGACTAACAACTTCTCTAATGTGCCATGCACCTTCTCCTTGACTTCCTCCAACTACCTCTCAGCAACCTCTGCCTGCTTGTTTAGCAGCCTTTGTTCATTCCTCCCCAAGCTTTGCCCTCTTCTAAGCCTCATATGACCTCCGCTCTGATGAAAATAGGAGTGCAGATTAGAAGTGTGAAGCCTCAAATGACATCAGCTAGTACTAATCAATAGATTGTCATAGGTTAAGAGATTATGCTCACGAATATATTATTCAAAGTTGTGGGACTAGAGGATGTCCTCAATTGTTGCATCATTTAGAGTTATAGCTGCAGAGTCAGAATATGAGTCACTATTCATATTAATGAAGGTGAATTGCACTTCCTTACTGATGTATACCTTTGTCCTCTGTAGTTTCACTTTCTTCTAAAATGCCCAATGTCCGTTCAGCATCTCGGTGCAGTGTCTCGGAAGAATTGCAACTACCAAAGAAATCATAGATTTTCTCTTAATTAGAGTCAACTTGCCAGTAGAAACTATCTAGATCACAATTGAAGAGTTGGAAATACAAAAAATAAGGTATGTGGCTTTGGTCCTCTCTATGGTGCACACAATTGACGCCCCATTGCTCGCTGCCTCTGCAGTTTCTAAGGAGTCATCTTTCCCTCACAGCTTCTTCTTATCAATCTGAGCAGTTTTATCAGCCTCTCATTTAGCTTCTTGGTTATCTGAATCTGCCCACAATGTCACTATCATCGAACAAAACCTATCCAGCTATAAAACCTGGTTAAGAACTACTGGCTCGGTGTATTGGTTAATGAGAGCTACCTTCCTTCAACCTTGTTCGCTTTTTTTTGGGCACTGGGATGGTTTGAATTCCCCAACCGTTGGAGGATGACCTAAGCAAGAAGCGCATCATCCAATCTCTGATCTTAATTTTCAATCCAAGCAACTAAAATTTGTAGGTCAAACAAAATTGTGCATAACCGTTTGAATTCACACAAAATAAGAACATATAAGAAAAAAGCTTCAATAACCATAGGATCCTAGCTCGGCGATGGTAGAGAACTTAGCTCATTGTGACAGTGATGTATTAGGCTTAATTTGGGTGAGGATATCTCCATAATGGTTGAAAATCACTCGCAGTTTGTGGCAATATGTTAGTTGCAAACCCCACTTGAACTGATCGCGATAGAAAATTAGATCCTCTCCGAACATGTTCATCACCCGATCATACCCTCCAATAGCTCGAAGATGTATGCGAGAGTCAAAGATAGAGATATCTTGTAACAGATTCATTTTCTTTGATGACAAAATTGACCTCTCAGTTGTTACAACTAATCTAAAAAATTGAGCCAAGTATTTGAGAGCCATCCAAATGAAGGAAAGGGGAGCATGAACCAACAAAAGGGCAAATGAAAGTTAGAGAGCAAAGTGCTAAATCTAACCCATAGCCTCTATATATTGGGTAACATGAACATAAACATCACAGAATCATAAATTGATTTTGAGAATGCGTCATTGCATCAAAAAAGAATTCAAGAAAAATAATAATAGAAATGAATATATTACAAATTAAACTCCAAATATTTTACAAGTGTTTCATATGTTGCTTCGACCGAGACAAGCCCTAGCCAAAGCGGTCTCTTATACAAAACCTCTCTTCCAAACATAAACCTATCTAAATAGTATGACTTAGCATAGATCCAAAACATGGAGCAGGTCTCTTGAACGTCCGGTGGCTCATGACATAAGACCACCAACCCCTCCCGCGACTTCTTTATCGCCTCCTCTTGCTACATCCCAATCATCCGAGCAAAGGAGTCATCCATCTTGTCCAGGCAGCAGACCAACCATCCAAGGGATATCTCGAGTCCATTGGTTGCCTCTATGTGGGCCTTAGGAGGGATGCTTGAGTGGTCAACCACATTCTCCTCACTCTTATGCAACATCAAGGCTGTCTCAACTGATCTGAGGTCAGGCCTTGATCGATATCCCCTGGAGGTGATTCGTCAATTGATATTGCCTTGGTTGCATAAAAAGTCAGTGTAAGAAAAGATAAAGAAATTTTAAGTTAGCTAGCAAGACGTAGTCTCATCATACCAATGAGTCAATCCAACTAAGACCACCAAAAAGACACATCTCTCTCATCAGATGAAAGAGGAGTGCTTGTAGTCCTCTGCCCCTAAGTTTCTCGTGCCTCATATGATGGAGCACCATCGGTTCTCTACATAGGTTGTTCAACCATCTAATCACGAGCATCAACAAGAGGTTGGGTCGATGGTCAGTGTTCAGATTGCCTAACCTGCTTATATCTTCTACATGATTCTTTCCCCATTGAGGACTTTGAAGTAGATCAAATGAGCCCACTTGATCTATTGGCTCATCAATCTTTCACTTCTTGGAGGAAGTTTCTTCTTCTGATTTTCTCTGTGGTCTTTTTTCTCCATTTGACCTCTTCTCTCCCTGAAATTTCTTCTTTGCCTCAAGGTAGGACTACGTTGCAAACAACCCAAAAGCAACCATCATCATTTTCCTTTTGAAGTTCTCATCCGAAGGTTTTTGAATGTTCGAGATGGAGATGTTTGGAAGACGATTAAATTTGGTATAGAAACACAGTAAATATGGTATGAAAAAGGAGTATTGTTATGCTCTATTTATGAGAATCATGGAAAAGAAAATTCAAAAAGTTCAATTATTAAAACTTTGATTATGACATAAATGATATTTATTTTTTGCATTTAATACTCTTATTCTTTTCGCAACTATCACTTTCAAGAAGTAAGAGATTCAGATAACAAAAATATGTATATCAGAAATGTGCTAGTACGAATCTCTAGGAGATCCAACTATTTAGGAGAACATAAAGTATAACTAACAAGTGCCCACTGATGGAAGACAAAAGAACCCACTTATTTGGCCAAATGCAACCCCATAGACTAGGGCTGGAGGTCGATCAGGCGTGGACCACCTAAACTAAGGACTAAGGTTAATTGAGTTGAACAAAGACATTGATTGTCCATCACTGCAACCTTACCCAAGAAAAGAGTTCAGTCTTTTTTCAAGTAAAGAGTTAAGTAACATCAGCAACCTCGAGGATGCCCCTAAGATTCCTCATCAGGAGCAAAGAATTATCAAAAACACAACCCACGAACATCCCGAAGGACTCCCTTATCAAGCAATGAGCTGCTTATCAGATTAATGTAATTCACCCTCTGTCTTATAACATAGTCTCTTTATGCTGAAAAGAGCTTCTTATTCAAGGATCAATGATCGATAGTCAAACTAGAACAATCGATTGGGGAAGCCAAGTCCATCGAGGTAGTCTTACAGACCCTAAGTCTATAAAGGCCAACTGACAACCCCAATTCAACACAGTCGAACAAGCATGGTTTGCCTAACCAAATTCCATTAAGTTCAGTAGACCGAGTCAGAGAGTACGAACCGTAAACCCATACAAATATAATACCTAAAATATCATGTATAGGGAAAAAGATATAACCTCACATATTGTATTCCCTCCTCTATAAATAGTTGAATCATTTTATGAGAAAGACTAATCGATAAAACCGTTTATTGTTCATTAATGAGTGTTTTTCTACCAGTCTCCATCTCTATCTCATGTCTGACACTCTATTCCTTGGGAGCAATTCAAGGTGAGATCAAGATTCAACATTTTTATAATTAATATTTAAGCATGCAAAGCAACACAAAACTACAATCTCTTTGCCAACAATTTCGCGCAACTTTCTAGCCTTCATATGCCATTATCAGGCCAGGTCACTATCCCTTATTCTTCACAACACCACCCAATTCCTTTGCAGCAGAAAACACCATTTCCCTTCTCCTATCTTTTATTTTGTATTATTCTCCCATTTCTCTTCATTTACATCACAGAGTGCCCCTACTTCCGCGCTGATGCTTACAGCAAAATTACAATATAACACGTCTACTAATGTTCAAAACATCTAAACAAAAAAAATTGGCAAGGCATAAACATTACTCTGATTGCGAAATCATCCCCGATCCATATAAATTGAGACAACCAACATCACATTCAAGCCAACCAGTCAGTGAAACAACAAGACTTGTAAATTTAATCTAGTCCAGGCATGGCTCGTGCAGCAGCGGTGACAACGATAGCAATAGTAGTGGCAATGACAATGGTGGCTAGAACGCCGAGGGAGGTGACAGCAATGACTTGCGCGGAGGTGGACTTCGATTTGCTGCCATGCCTGAGCTATATAAGAAACGGTGGGGACGTGCCGTCGGATTGCTGCAATGGACTAAGCGGCCTGGTAAATGCGGCGAAGACGACGGACGACCGTCGCACCGCCTGCAACTGCCTCAAGTCTTTGGCTTCGGGTGCATCAAATGATGAGCTCAGCCGTGCCGCTGTTATCCCGGACAAGTGTGGCATTCCTCTCCCTTACAAGTTCAGCCCATCCACAGACTGCTCCAAGTAATTAAATAATTAATCTTTCTGTTGCACGCATCTCTGGTACTATTAATTGCTTGTTTTATTTGGATTGATTTGACGACTTTTTGACAATGGTTTGATGTTGCAGGATCAACTAAGAGCAGGCTTGCAATGTTTTTTGTGTGTATGAAAGAATCTGGCTGAATCTCACTTGGACCGACGGGTGCAAAGCTTAAACAAGTCAAGATATTTATTTTACATGTATATTGGGAATTACTGCTATTCGTGTATGCTTTGGGATTTTGTGAATGTGTGTTTGATCTTAAAAATTATGGATTGAAATATATTCTTGTTTTCACATAGTGTGAATTGTTTTGTTGACCTGGATCAAACGTTGTTGTGTCGTCAATATATTTTTTATTTAACACAAATCTCGATGCATTTATATGAAGGATTTTTAAAAATCAAATTTAAGATCATTTGGACCCTAATTTCAGTAAGCTTACACTTAAACTGATCATCTCAATAGAAAGAGCCCAATGATACCAAAATTGATTATAACTGGGTCAAATCAAGCCTAGATCAAACCATTAAAGCACATATCAACACATTGGATATCAATGTTTATCAATATGGGTCGTCCCATCAGATGTATGAAAAAATTATTTATCAAAAGATCAAAACGTGTCTCCCCCTACAGGCTATAAATAGATCCCCTCTCTTCACTTTAGGGGAAGAAAGAAGAGGAATTCAAAAACCTGCTCTGTACTGAAGGTCATGTGATTACTTCACCCTCCATAGCCATAGACTATCGTTGACCACTATCGACTTCCATTGGTTTATGTTTTCAACCTTCTACCACCAATGACCTCTGCTCTCAAACAACGTATTCCAAATATGTCTATAACATATAACGCATGTATTGAAAACCTAGGATAACTTTTGGAGTCCTTAACCGACAACCACCATCGACCATCATTGGTCGTTACCACTTGCCATCAACGACTCCCGACGACAACTGATTGCAACCATCATAGCCAAAATATGGTAGTTGTTCCTAAGACTTGTACTTTTTTTATATTGTATAGAGATAAAAGCTGTGTTCATGAAAAAATTATAACCCTGTTCTCCTTGAGAGGAGTCCAATCACCAAATATGAGCTATGTGGCCAACTATAACTTTCAAAATTTTCAACTACAGCAACAATGGATGACTGTTGCTCTTGTAGTCACTGACCATGGCCTTTGTGACCAACTACTGCTATCTAAACTTCCAACTACGACCTATGCAGCCAACTAAATATATTGTAGCTACTTATTACCATATTTTTGGCTACCTACTACTATTTTAGTTTTTAACTACAATCTTTGCGGGCTGCCACTACAGCCACCAATTAAAACCTTTGTGGCCAACTACATTACAGTCTTCAATTACGACCTCTATAGCCAATTACTGCTATTGTAGCCATTAACTACACCCTTTATAGACAACTTCTTCCTTTGTATCAACCAATTATGACATTTGTGGCTAATTAATTTTGTTATAAGTAAAGACCACAGTAATCGCAGTTGAATCATCACTATTATAACTAAACTAATGTTGTACAACTATAAATATCAACTTTGTAATTTCACCTTCTCTAATTCAAGAAAAAAGTGCACTCATGTACTTATAAGTAAATAGTGGATTACTTTGACTGCACTAGGCCCCATAATTTTTTTTCTTTCCTGAATTTTTCCACGCAAAAATTCTAGTGTTCCCTATGACTACTTTTCATTTATCAATTTGTATGTTGGATCTTCTTGTAATGTAAAAATATTAAAATATCACTCTACCATTGTAAGCATTCCAACACACAATAATTTGACTCCATCTATGAGAAACAAAGTCTCATTTATAAATTCCAAACTTCTACAATGACTAACAAACATAATACATGAGATTTTTACTATAATACTTGTCATTTCATGACACAGTCTTGAGTCTATAATACCAACCTCATTTGCACCTCTTAATAATAGTGTACAAAGATGGGACGAGTCTCGAAATGAGGTCCTCCAACTTTTATGAAGACTCCACAATTGAAGGTTGTGCATGTTGGAGGGGCACAACTACCTAAAAATACATTTATTAGAGGTATACAATTAGCACACCCTCCACACACTGAAGTTCCTCTCAAGCAAGTTGACCAGTAGGCTTGCATGGGCGCATGCATTCTCCCGCACTCCTAAACACTGCTAGCACTACACATCTATCCTTTATATTCAAGCCTAGCTGCAAACTTTCAATATGTGTTGATAACTTAGGTCTACCTGATTATGTAATCCATGATGAGTTATGATATCTAGTGTAAGAAGAGTTCCCTCTAAGGTATAGAAGTCATTTCTCTGCTTGGTGTAGCTCTCAAGAGTTTCCTTATTTAGCTGAGATCGTCCTTCAATACCCTGTTCAAATAGAGTTCAAGCTTTAAAGAATTGATACTTATGATAGGCATCTAACTAGTATGAACTCTTTGATTATTATAGAATAATCATATAGCAAGATTTTTTCATGCTCCTTTGACAATTTTTCCTACTGCTCATAAAGGTTAAGTGCAAACTACATTTTATTCATTCTCAGGATGGATCATTCATACATATGATGAACTTGATAATATGATTGTGAAGTAATTCATCGTAAATCAATATGTATTTAAAGACTTCTCTATCATCTTTAGAATTTATCAAAGTGATAGAAATTCACTAAAAGATTATTTATGTCGCATTCTTCATTGAGGGGGCAACCTTCACTGCAATCTCCAAATGTCATTCATGTCAACATTCGATGGCATATTGTGGTGTGACAGTCTTCATGAATTTCATCAATTTTATGCGAATTAGTTGTAGAATACAAGGCAACCTTTACTACAGCCTCAAAAGTTCCTTCACGTCAATGTTCTGGGGACATTTATGATGAGTAGTCTTCCTATATTTTATTCAAACATGAGGTTTATGTGAACTAATTCTAAGATGGGGGTAACTTTCACCATAATTTTAAGTGGACATTCGTTTCAACATCTAAAAATTGACCATAAGATAAACTATTGATAGGAGATGTTCAATTAGAATGTTCTCTCTACTCACTCATCATATTGAAGTTTCTCCCCAACCATAACAAGATGCTAACCTTCTCAAAATTGGATACATTAACTGCTTTATACAACATACCCAAACTTATTTAGGCAATACCCTTATTAGAGGGTGGTAAATCAACTAAGCAATAAGAAATAAATTATCATATGTCATTCTTGAATATGACTATAATCTTATTTCCAAGAAGATGTACAACCCATATCGGCATACACCCCAGATTTGAGAAACATAAAATATTTTTGTCACCTCATTCTAGACTTAATCGATCCCATTGGGCCTCGATTTGATCTCTTCCATAATAAATTAAGGTCATAGAGTGACTGCTATCGTCTAACAAAACAGCCTTGCATATGTAAAAAATTCTTGGTAGATTCTAATAAAACTCTTCCATAATGGTCTATGTTCATCGAATGATTGTTCCACTAAAACTAAATAGCTTCACATAGACCCAAAATATTTGGTGGACTATAATTAACCACTTTCATAATATGCTATGATTGTCAGGCATTACTACACTCTGTCTAAATCTTGGATAGATAAAAAATTCTTGGTCGATTCCATCCAACCTATTTCATAAACAGTTGTCAACCATCAATCAACTATTATGCTCCAATTAAATATCCAAAGATAGGTCAAAAATCCTTGGTGGATTATAATCCACCACTTCCATAATGGTCCACCATGATGGAGTGATGGCTACGGCCAAACTAAATAACCTCATATTGATAAAAAAATATTTATAAATTTCATCTGACTTCTTCCAATACAGGTTATAGTTCTCCAGCTGATGTTTTAACTAGCAACCTAGGATAGGTCTAACATGCTTAGTGTGTTTCAGTTTGACTTTGTCCATATAGGTTAACACCATAAAATATTTTTTCAATAAAATAACCATGAATGGGTCTTTATATCCTTGGTGGATCTTCATGACTTCTTATTTATAAATAATCTCAGATTGTTCTAGCATCCTTGGGAGATCATTCTTGGCTTCTTATATATAAATGACCACAAATTGGTCAAACAAACTTGGTAAATTATTCATAGAAATTACCTCAAATTAGTTGAGTATCTTCTTATTTGTAAATGATCACAGATCACTCAAACATCATATGTGGATTATTCATGGATTTTCTTATAGAATTAAACTTTAATTGATCAAGTATCCTTGGTGGATTAATCATACAAATGACCTTAAATCAGTTGAACATCCTTGATTAGTTATTTGTGCTTTCTTATTTACTGAATAGTCTCACATCGGTCAAACATATTTGGTGGATTATTCTTGACTGTCTATATACAAATAATTACTAATTGGTCAAATATATTTGGTAGATTACATATGACATTATCCACACATGTTAATGTCATCAAACAATTCTAATAGAATAACTTATGGCAGGTCTAATATTTCTGGTGGATTTCATTCAAGTTTGCCCGCAAAATTCTAAAATTTGGTAATATTCAACTTGTTCATCTACATGAATTAAGTAGCATCCAACCTAAAATTACACCGCAACATAACCAATGAAATAATACCTATTCCAATCACATAATAGCCAACAAAAAATAGAAAGTCTACATTAAACAAACAAAAAGTTGTAAAGACAAACACAATGTTGCTAAGTAAAAATGCTACATCAAGCGAACGAAGAGCTTTGTTGTTAAACACACTGACACAAAATAGAAATACTATAGCAAGCTAATGGAAATAAAATACTAATCAACATCATTATCTTTCTCCCCTTGTCAGGCATGTTCTTCGGTAAGTTAGTTTAGCCTCTTCCCCTAATAAGTAAGAAGAAGGATCTTCAGACGCCTTGCTGGTAGATATCTCATTAATGTCAATTCTTGTTTGATGGTACATTAGGTGAAACCCTTTCTAGAAGCCTCAAATGAATTATGTGTCTACACATTG